GGGGGGGGGTAGACACCGACCAACATTGGGGGTAAAGAGGGTAGAGACACCGTGCGACGCTGGGGTCCCTTAAAAATGTCCTCGGCCAAAAAGGGGTCATGAGTGGAGAAAGTTTAAGGCCTGCCCTAGAGGACAGGTGGGCCAACATTTCCACTCAGGGCAGACCCAAGTGGTGTTGTAAATATGTGTACAAGTCACTTTACAAACAAAGTTGAAGTTTATACTGTCACCCTAAACCCAGGGGAGAGTGTTGGGGGTACAAGAACACTGCAGACTCCCAATAAAACCCATACTCTGTATTCACAGCACAAAGACCAACAAGCTAGACCAGCATCCTGGTAATAGAGAATTGGCTGTGGTAGTCAATACAACTGTCCTTTTGAGAAAGACCAACTGTCTGTAAGGACCAAGCACATCCCTGGCGTATCAGGCACCCAAAATTTGGCATAAAGGTTGCTTTAAAGAGCTAAATTACCATCATGACTATCCACCATTTTAGTATAAATTACCGTTCAACATAGTACAGTCTTTTCAGCTTTACCAGGTTGGTAGTTGGCTAATACTTCTCAGATCTCACCTTATAGTCAATACATTTCTCTAGGATAGTCACAGTGCTTTCATCTACATGAAGATCACACGCCTCCAATTCAGCTCCACTAGCATCTGCAGAGAAAAACAATTGGTTCCATCAGCCATGCCTGAGCAGAAGGTGCGCTTTCCTGCTGGCGTTCAAATGACAAAGATGACTTCTAGTGCCCAGTAGGGACAAGCTTTGGGTTTGTGGCAAACTTTGCATGCTTGTGCAAAGGGAGAACTTAGAGAACTATGGGGGGTCAGTGTTTTTCCCCATAGTTCTCATTAGGGTAACGGGAGGACACAAACTAGCATCCTCCCGTTACCCTAAGCTCAGTATACCGCGAGCTACAGCTCGCGATATACTGAGACGCCGCAGCCAGAGTGGATCCCGACTTAGATGACAGGATCCGCCCAGCTGCGTGAGTGACAGCTGGCTCTGCCCATCTAGAGGCAGAGCCAGCTGTACCCGCCCCCTCCCATTCCGCCAGTCAGCACTGGCAGATCGGAGTGGGGAGAGGGGAATCCAGCCCCTCCCCCTGTCACGGCAGAGAGCTATGACAGGATCGAAAGGTGAGCGAACCCGGTATGTGTTCGTTCACCTCCCAATCTACTGAGCCGACCTGTGACAGCCTCATTGTCACAGGTCGGCTGGAACTATGAGGCGAGTGAAAAGCACTCACCTCAGTTCTCCTTTAAGGACTCATCTCACTCCCCCAATCCCGAGAGAGAACCTGACCTGCAGGGTGTGAAAAATGTAGAAGTGGTATTACTACCCCCACTAAATGGGAGCTTCCCCATAGGCTGGTTGCCCTAACATATCAGTCCACCTGCTCTTCTATATTACACGCAACCTACAGGATACAGCCAATATTACACAAAAGTCCTTACTGACCCCCCTCCATAGCAAGTTTAGTCAAAAATCACTGATACCCCTGCATTTCAACATGCAGACCATTACATTCCTACCTACAATATGAAGCCTCTTCCAAGAACTCAGGAGAATATTATCTGGCTTGGATACTTGGATCCCATCACCCAAACAGGTAGAAGGACCTACAAAA